CTCGGATTCCCCTGTATTTCTCCTATTATTAATAACTCTTATCAACTCTATGGTCATTGCTTTATTATTTCTCTTATTCTTCAATAGACTGTCAGCTCCTTGAGGGCAAAGATGAAGCTTCCAACATCGTTTACCCCCTGCACCTAGCACAAACCCCAACACATGGTAGGGACTCAAATAACACTTGTTTGAGAGAGTTAATGAGCTTTGTTCCAAGTCAACATGAACCCAGTTCTTTCAGATTATGGGAGAGTCAAAATGCTCTGTATAATAACCAAGCTGGCTCCTTCTCTTACTTTGTAAATTATTATGGAAATGGGTCTACTTAAATGTATAAAGTCAGAGTTTTGCATCTGTAATTTAGAGTATATTTTTCCCCCCATTTCCATTTTATCTCAAACAAAAGGTCTTTTTGGCTGTAAATTTACTTTCACTAGTGAGGAATCAAATCTCGGGCAGATATTTCCTCATCTAAATTGTTTATTTTCAATTGGCTTTTATTTTGTGCTTCCTAGGATCCCAGCACTGCTGGGGAAGGCACTCTTTTCCTCCCAGTTATTGTAGGCTGTGGAAATTGTCTGCTGAAGGTGAGACAGGGCAGGGCTCAGGTCACCTTAAATCCCTCCCATGGAGCTACCAGAGAATATGTTCTGAGCCTTCAACGTGCTCGCATACACTCAAAGGTGACTTGAAGGCTCACTCGGGAAAGTGAGGAGACTATAATTTGGCTAATAAATGAATCTTTCTCTATTTGAAATGTTTTTATTTCCTGTATGAGCTCATCTCCCACGGAGGATGCCACTTTGGCAAAGGACGCATCTATGTGGTTCTTCCCACAAGTCTATCAGGTTCAGTGGGCAATTTAAATGAATCAGGCAGGTGGGAGAAGAGACAATAAAGTTGAAATTCAGTATTAGAGAAATAAATGGTAGAAATATTGTAAACACTTTATATGGTTACAATTGAGCTAAGTGGAAGGTAGGGGTATATATATAGTTAAAAAAAATTTCCCTACTTTCTCTGTTTGCAATTAAAACTCACATACTGTCACAATTAAGCATTCTATCTTAAGAATATTTTCTCTGACACTTTGATTGAGGTAATGTCTAAAGAAAATGTGTTTGTATTAACTCTTAGAAAACTGTAGACAAGGAAGCTCTTTTTATTTTTCTTAAGAGCATTTCAATTGTTCATCATATTCTTGCTCTGGGTAGTGAGGGGAGGAAATCTGGGTGGCAGACTTTGAAAAAAAATTAACCAAATAACTACATAAAAACAACTGTTGTGTTTTTTTTAAACTCCCTAGATGGAAATGATGGGGGTGGGGATTAGAGTAGTGTGCCCCAGAGAGGCTGATCCAAGTCTTGGGAATCAGGGAAGGCCTCCCTGAGAAAGAGACACAGAAGCGGAGACCTGAAGGATGAATAAGATCTGGATTAATAACTCGGATTAATAATCGTGGATTAATAACTAGGGGAGAGGGAGGGTTGAGTGGTTGTATGGAGAAGATGAAAGCTTTGAAGTTGGAAAGAACGTATTGCTCTTGACAATCAGAGAGAAAGTGTCTGTGGCTGGAGCTAGTGAGCAAAGAGGGAAGGAGATGAAAGTAGAGAGGTGGGCAGGCTCAGGTGAGGCAGGGCCCCCTGCCCCCATAAGCCATGTGAAGGATTATTGGACTTTACCCCTAGAAGCACTGGGAAGTGATCCATACTCTCTGATCAAGGGAGTAGTATGATCACATGCGTTTTTGAAAGGTCACCCAAGGTCCTGTGAGCAGACAGGGGTGGTGGTGGGTGGGCGGATGCCAGTTCTACTCGGTGGTTCACGAGTGAGGTAAATGAAGCGGGGGCCATGGTGTTGGCAGTAGAGAGGGGGCAAAGTGTAAGAATTCTCTAAAGTACTTTGGAGGTTTGAAAACCAGAAATGAGGAATGACCAGAGAGAGGGGTTGAAGATGTCTCATAGATTTCTGGCCTGAACAACTGGGGGGCTGGCAATGCTGGAGGGATACAGGTTGAGGGTGCGACTGGGAAAGCAGGTACTGCATGAGTTTGGTTTGCAGTTGCTAAGAGTGAGAGTCTTGTGAGTAGATACTGGGAGAGCTCTGAACTATAGATCTGGGATAGAAGTGGTGGCAAACAAGAGTGAATGGGTTTACCTAGGGAGAGAAGGTAGTAAAGGAAGAAGGCCTAGCTTAAGAGGGTAGATCTCAAGTTAAGCATTCTGACCACAATAAAATTTAAAAATTAATAAATAAAAAAGAAGTCCTAGGGCTGAGCTCCATAAAGCTCCAACCCTGAGTTTCGGGAGAGGGCAAATGATGCAGAGAGGGTCAATTTTGAAAACTGGGAGGGAAACACAGAGATGAATATGTCATCTAAGTCAGAAGAGAGAGAGATTCAGGAAGGGGGATGTTTCAGTTTCGAAACTGCTGAAATGAGCATTGAGGAGAAGACTACAAAGCTTTCAATGACTTCAGCGAAACAGAAGTCATTCGTGACATCAGCAAAGGTTTTGCTAAAGCCACATTGGAGTGGGTTAATAAAATCAACATAGTGCCCACTCTGTGGTAGGTACTATGTGCTTTACATATACTAAAGATTAATATTATTTTAGTCATCACCACTCTGGGTGGGAGCTCAATGGGCTCCAGTCTACGAGGGAAAGTTCCATTATCCCTCTCTTTCTCAACATCCACTATCCAAATCTAGGAAGAGAACAGATCCGCATACGGAGGGAGATTTGTGAGACAGAGAGAGAGCTAGAATCAGAGCAAAGCAGCCAGCCAGCCTGGCCAGCAGCCTTGGACGTATAGATTCAGCTCAAGTGTACAGAGAATTGGAAGGGAGATCTATTTACTTTATAACTAGCATGTGATAAGAGGAATGCTTTCTTCCACTTTGGCATGAGGCTCTGGAATGTGCAGTCACAGCCCTGGTATGCTATCAAGAGATCTCATATCCTGAACCTTCTGCTGGTCCATCAGCCCCGAGATAGAATGAAAGGGAGCAAAACCCAGTACCTTTTTTGATAACAATTAAAATCCTTGGATTTATATTATGTGACATGATGCGAGGGACATTGTTTAGGCCTTGGCATAGCTGTGAATGCATAGGGCAGAACACCAAAGGAAAAAGTCAAGTTTGAAAGCTTTCTCAGAACCCATCTGAGAGAATTTGCTAGTTAATGCAAATACAGGTCCAAACAAGTTCTGGTTTGCCGAGGGAGTACGCAGCGCTGGCAAGCCTCACTTGGCATGAAGAGCGTGAGTAATGCTTCATTCTAATGAGGGATCTTGGGGGTCCATAATGAAGACGATGCGGTATTTCCCACGTGTCTCTTTGGAATGTGGGCTGATTGTACCCACAGTGGAAGAAAAGCCATTGGAAAGTATATAGTTCCTGAAAACTCTGGGGCTCGACAAGATTCAGATAATTTAATGGCATATAAATGAATTCATGGAAATACACTCAGAGTTCCCAGAGTAAAGAAATTCCCTTCCTATAAGTAAGGGAATTTGAGTATAAAATAATAAGAATGCAAATATGAGTGCAAACTAATAAGAATGTACTTTTGGGAGGGAGGGGAGAAGGGCATTTGAGGTTTAAACAAATGCTATCGGCAGTCCCAGGTATGCTGCGAGCACTGCAATGTCCTTGAATAATTGTGTAGTTTCCCAAAAGACTCTTCTGAAGGGTAAGAGTCACCTGACTCTCAAGTTCATATGTATAAAACACATACATTCATTTTCAAGATGTAATTTCACAGTCACACTTCACCGGTGAGCCCTGATCATTTGGACCTTTTCTATTAGAGAAAGTTAATACTCAACGTTGCAGGTGGAAAAGAAAATCTAGACCGTGGCTAGGAAAACAAACATTCCCCAGTCGTCACAAATGGTCTCTGACCAGTCGACAAAGTGGCAGATGGAATGAATGTTACTGCATGTTAATTCTGAGGTCTGTAGTCTGGATGTCTGCTTAGACCTAGTCGTAGGGTGTGACTTCCTAGGAGCAAATTCTCATTCTGTTCAGATCTGGTGCGTTATGTGAACATTCATGCAAAGTATGTGACGTACTGGATTGACCTTTATTTTACATTTCTGGGCTGGCTGGAGCAAAACACTCCACGGACACTGGGCCTCCCAAAACGCTCCAGGAGTTTGATGGGATTAAGTACAGTTCGGGGGTGGGGGGGGATTGGAAGAATGTTATTCCATCCTTCAGGCTTAAAGGAAGGGATGGTGACCCAGAATTCAGGACAAAAGGGTCCTAAGAGACAGAAATGCTGGCGGGAGAGACCTCTTCTAATGTGAATATATCCAAGAGGACTTGGAATTACAAAGAGAAATAAGAAACATTAAAACATGGTACAAATGGCAATTAATGTGCAACAAACTCATCAGGCAAAAACTCTTATCAGATAAATTTGGTATCTCCCACTTGGGACTTATTCATGCCCAATAGACCAATTGGAGATTTCTTATGATTTATTTACCCCAATTAAAAACCAAACCAAGCCATTATATGTAATGACTAATTCTGGAATAGGTTTTAAACTGACTCAGTACATTTTCACTTGTTTCCTATGAAGTCTAAAGTCACTTCTTTAAGAGGTCATTTCTTCCATCCCTATTTGCATTTGCTGCAACTCCCCCATTCCCCAACAAAAGCAACAACAAAAAATCCCAAGCAAAAAAGCCCTTAAGCAATAAAATTGGTGTCCAAGAAAAACATTTAGTTTGAAAGAGAGTTGAAAAATGTAGCCTTGGAAGAACCACTGCTTACATGGGATTGTTCAACAAATTCCTGTTGTGTGAGGTTTGGCATATACTTTCTAAAAATATAAGCATCTGGGGAAATGAGACAAAGCCCAGGTCTTGGACCAAATGAGGCACGCAGCATGAATCTGTTTGTGATTATATCCATAATGAAATACGTGCCCAAATTTAGCAGTGCAAAATCTAATACAATACGAAAGCGCAGCAGGCACTGGCCTTACCATAATATATAGCCAAAGGAGAAGGTGCATATGGCGGCGAGCCCGCTGCTCCTGCTGGGGTACGCATGGTGCGAGGTCCTCATCTCGATCAATATAAAGGGCAAGACTGTCGTGTGCTGAAAAAGAACAGAGACCCGGTGACACAGATTCTCATCATTGCCCCTCAGGAGTGGTTTTGTCTCCAGCTGGAGAATGAATAGTGTAAATCCTTAGCAAAAGCAACACATCAGAGAGCAGCGTATGGACACAAAAACATGAAAAATGTCAATTGCTCCATTGGTATTTTGCTTCTGTATCTTAATTTTTGAAATCTCATTTACTTCTGTTATAAGAAACGTCTATAATATAGATATATGTATAGGAAGGAAATTAGAACATAAGGAATAAAATAACCAGTGTTAATATTTTGATATATGTCTCTCCTCCCTTCATATTATTTATGCATAGTTAAGATCATACTGTGCATGAATTTTGTTTTAAATTGTGGCATGAGAATTTCTGATATGCTACTTTAAAAATCCTTCTAAGAATATCAACCCTGGACATAGCTGCTTAAAATTTCACCTTACAGATATACCAAAATTTATTTAACCAATTCCTGTTCTTGGACAGTAAATAGTAAAAGATTTTCAAATTTTCACTTATTAAAAATATCATAGGAAATATCTTTTGTAGAAGTCTCTGTATGAATGTCTGAATGTGAAATTATTTTCTTATAGTCAAAGGCTATGAAGATTTTAAGGATGTTGATTCATAATGCAAAATTATGTGTGTACCAGCAACAAGCTAGGAATAATGCCAACTTAGCTTCCAGAAATAAGACACCAGTTTGCATCAGCAGGGCATGGATTTAGATATGATGTTTGAAGACAGACTCTAAAGATGCTGGGTGGAACATTACCATTTGTTTTTTTGGACCCATTGTTTAAGCTATATACTCAGTTCAGGGAGCCAGGTTGGGGATGAAATTCATCTCCTCCCTATGGTAGGAAGAAAGGAAAGTCAAGTGTTTTTGGTATTGAAATTTGGAGGACAGATATAAGGGACAAACAACTTCTTAGGTAAAACTGGGTCAGGGTACAGAATGGATTTACCTTCCAACATTGTAGAGTTTCCCAAGATTAAGAAGATGACAGAACTAAGAATGTTCCATCAGCAAGTTTGAATTCTATTTAGTACCCTAGTACGGCTATGAAAGAATCGTTGTTCTGCTCTTGCTCTATTATTAGCATATTCAAGGAAAAGGCAGGGAATTGAATGTTATGATTTTCAAACTCTAATAAGTATTGTAGCAACATGGAACCAGGTTGCAGGTAGGCCTTGTCAGGAAGGTATGGTGGGATATCAAGGGGAACATTTTTGGAGCAACTTATTATTTATATTCACAGAAAAAGTAGCACAACAGGATTTTATATGAAATATTAAGACCGGAAATTCTTTGCCTTAAGCATTCTTCTCTACATAACTGTTCTGTCAATATATTAGCAATTAGAGTATGGTAGTCCCAGAATGTCAGGTGGGTGATTCCACAGTTGGGTAGCTTTATCTTTCTTTATCCTTTGTTTCTCTATTATTGTTTTAAAATAGTATAATTAGCTCTGAGGGGAACCATGCAAAATGTACATGTGTGTTAATTCAGAGATAGTATGTATTTTAAAAATCACTATAACCTAGTCACCTCAGATGACACTGGCCTGGAATTTTAGCAACAATTTCAGCTGCTGTAAAAAATGTATTTTGCTAAATGCGTTTTTTTTTTTTTCCTATGGCATATAAGTATTCTGAATAATAATAAATAATAAAATCAGCTGGCATGAAGTCAGAACTTAGAGTGGTGCAGTGACAGTTGAAGATGGATGGCTGGAGGCAGCTCTTTCAGTTTTGGGCTCAGAAGAGGCCAAGGGGCAACTTCCTTGGTCATCCTGCATCAGGATTCCTCTGGCACTAGCCGCCTCCCCCATGTCACCTACGTTCTACCCAATGAGTTCAAAGTTGTACATCTGAAGTGCAAGAGCAGGAAGTAGGTGCCACATCTGCTCTGACCCTCAAGATTGGACCTTTAGGTCTATCTCCAAAAAAGTAACAGGTGACTGGAAGGGTCTGAGAATTACAGGAAAACTGATCATTCAGAACAGATTGGCCCAGACTGAGTGGTACCTTCTGTCTCTGCCCCATCATCAAAGCCCTCCAGGAACCAGCCAGAGACACAGAGAAGCAAAAACCCATCAAGCACGATGGAAATAGCACTTTTGAAGAGATTTGTCAACATTGCCTGACAGATGTAGCATCAATACGTACAGCCAGAGAGCTCACTGGAACCATGAAAGAGAACCTGGGACTGCCTGGTCTGTTGGCTGTGACACTGATGGCCACCACCTTCATGACATCACAGCCCACACCTACAGTCATGTGATGGAGTGCCCAGCTACTTAAGAACTACAGAGAAAAATATTTCTATAAAGGGTCACTTGACAACTGAAAAAAAGCAAACTCAGGAATGATCGGTTTCTATTCTTCAAACCTTTTAACTTACAGTTTTTTCAGGCAGGTATAGATATACTTTGGATAAACAGACATACTTCTGGAAATACAGGCTGGCTGCAGAGGGGGCTCTTAAGAATTGTATTGGGCTGCTTTCTGCAGTATATTATCAATAGAACAATTCCCCAGCAGCTGAGTTACTGAAGTTTGACTATTTCTTAAGTGTCAAGTGAGATGAAGGGTTGACAGCCCAAGGAGTAAATCCTTGATCTACCCTACAAATTCCATGCTGGAAAATACTGGTCTAGGATGTAAGTAGTCATCCTATCCCAAGCTTAATGTTCCACTGCTGTTAATTTTAATGAGACTGTATTTGGAAGATTGTGTCCTAAAAGAAAAGACCAAATCTATGTTGGGCTTTTGCATCCTTTGTGTTTTTCTCAATAGGGTGTGTAGAGCAGCGATTATCACCATGAACTGACCAGCATCCCATGGCAAAGGTCTCCCTGCAGAGGGATCTACCAGGTGGTGCCACCTCTGCACAGAGATGTTCAGACCTGAGCAGAGGGCTGGATCCGAGAAAGGACCCATAACTTACTTATGAAGTGAAGGAGATGGGATAAGAAAAATGCTTTTGAAGAAGATTCTCCAAACAGTGTAGTTAAGTGGAAAGATCAGGAAATTGGCAGTGGGATCCAGTTCTGAGTGTGCCACACCTCCCTATAAGATTTTAGGCAGGTTCTTGCACACCTGTGAAGCTCAGTATTGGTCATTGTAAAATGAGGGGTTGAATTAAATTCATGCATCTCTGAATTCAGTCATGAAGAACTACTATTTTAAGTTTTGCTGTGTCACATACCAGGGCCCAACTATGCATTAGGCATGGTAGACACAGCGCCCTGGGCCCAGGAAAATGTTCTAATTTCTTTTACAATCAGAAGAAAAAAAATTAACTTGCAGAGTTGAAAATTATATTGATGATTTTACCAATGCAGTCATAAATGTTATATAAAAAACATGTACATATAATATATACACACATTTATATATAAATATATTTATAAATAATAGGTTAAATGGAGAAAGAAACCTAAAATATGAAGTGCCTAGGGCCTACAAGAGTATAAAGTTATAATTCAGACTATTATATGCTACCTGATCTTAAAAATAATTATATTCTTAATTTAAATTTTTTTCTTACATATGTGTATTTAAAGGGAAACTTACGGAACTTATAAACTCTCATAGATGGAATATTATTTGTCACAAACAGAAGACAACCACAAATATAATGAAAATTAGTTGATCTTAATGAATGTTTGCTACATATGTTTGCTGTTAAAGGCTCTATTCTGAGGCCTACTCTATATATGTTAAGCAGGGATGTTAGTAAGCAGTAGAGGGGCATTAAAGACACAGTAGCATGAACTAGAGACTCTCCTAAATGGAATTAGGAGGACTGAGGATAACTGAGAGGGAGTCACCTTTTCACTCTGTGATTCAATATTATTTAATGCCAGGTTTCTGTGCCACATCCATTATGGTGCATGCCATCGGGGCTACGCTATGCACTAGAACAGATTACCATAAACTGTAGCTGTTCTTCCTAACTGCTAAATTATTTGATTTATGAGCAGATGTTCTCTTACCAGAAAAATAGAGATGGATGAGTAGGAAATTTTGGTACTGATGGAGGAGTTTAGTGGGATGTTACAGGGTTAAAGAAAGCATTTGCACCACACAAGAAGGATCTGGACTTGCTAGTGGGAAAAACATATTGATGACCTGTGATGGCTATCAGCAGACTATAAACTAAAGGGAAGTTTTAGAATAAATTTGCTGTGGAATAAACAAGAATTAAAACTATGCTGTGCGAAGATATGAATTCAGGCAAGAAGAGTGGATGGATGCATTATGGGACCACTCAAGATCCTGGTAGAGCTCTAGACTCTATAGTTGTAATAGGAGTGTACATTATAAAAATAATAGACAAGATAAGCAGACTATGCATAACTGCTATTTCTCTGGTCTTTCCCCTCTCTCCAAAATATTCTTTAAATAGGAGAGTGCTGCTTCCACGCCATATGAACACCAGATACAAGTAGTTTTCTCCTGGAAGCAAAACCAGCTTTTGAATGTGAGGTGTGCCAGCCCAGCCCCTGCCCAGCTGAATAATAAGGGAGCTGGCAACCCCATGTCTGCTTATTTGCATCTGTGGGACATAGGCAGAGCTCTGGGAGTGCTCTCAAAGCAATGTCTGCATCAAATCTCCAGGTGAGCTTCTTAAAAATTACATTGCTGGGTGCAGCTCCTGGTGCCTGGCTTACTGGATGTGGAGTGCTGTTCCTGGTAGTCCCCACGTGGGCAGATCATAATTCTTGCCTTCATGTTTGTCAGGATATCTAGGTTGTCCTATATCCCTATGACAACTTGGATCATAAATAAAGAGTTGAAGGATATCCGTGTGCGTGTGCACGTGTGTGCACATGTGTCACCGAGCACTGCCTTTTGGGGGCAGCCAGAGAAGCTACCAGACTTGCCTGGGAGGATGGGGAGAGGGAGAGTCCCCTATGATGTTCTGACAAGTTTACAGGTATATCACAAAGTAAAAAAACGTGGAAAACTGCTCTAGGAT